TCGAGATTTACTCACCACCGAGCCAAGTAACTTCTTCAGTTCATCCGCCGGAAGTTGCAATCTGCGGGAAACAAACAAACACATGAAAATAAAAGATCTGTATTGGAATTCAATTTGTAATGTAAATGTTATTGGGATGAAGATGCGAGGAAAGTTATCAGGAGTTGGCGCGTCCCCCCCCACCCCCACCCCGTTTCGTTTTTGTTTTTTTGTTTTCCTCGTTTTCTTTTTCGTTGTTGTTGTGTCTTTCTCTTTTTCGATTTTCCCCCTCCTCCTCCCTTTCCCTTTCCCTTCTTCTTCTCCCTTCCTTTACTCCACCTCCCTCTCCCTCTAATCTATTCCTTTCTACTTTCCCTCTATCCTCTTCCTCTCTTTGCGCTTTCCCCTCCTCCTTCCCCTCTCCTCTTCTCCCCCATCCCTGCTCCTCTTTCTTCTCCTCTACTCCTCCTCTTCCCCCTTTCCCACTCCCATCCTCTCTTTTCTCCACTCCTATCCCCTCTCCTCTCCCTCCTCTCCTCTCTTTTCCTCTCCTCTCCTCTCCCCTCTCCTCTCCTCTCTTCTCCTCTCCTCTCCTCTCCTCTCTTCTCCTCTCTCCTCTCTTCTCTTCTCCTCTCTCCTCTCCTCTCCTCTCTTCTCCTCTCTCCTCTCCTCTCCTCTCTTCTCCTCTCTCCTCTCCTCTCCTCTCCCTGTCCTCTCCCCTCTCCTCCCTCTCCTCTTCACTCCCCTACTTCTTCTCTTCTCTCTCCTCCCTCTTCTTTCCCCTCTACTCCCTTTCCTCTCTCTTCTACTCCCTCTTCTCTCCCTTCCCCTCTCCTTTCTTCTCCTCTCCCCTTCCTTCTCCTCCACATTCCATCCCCTCTCCTCCCTCTCTTCTATCCCCTCTCCTCCCTCTCTTCTCCTCCCTCTCCTCTCCTCCCTCTCTTCTCCTCCCTCTCTTCTCCCCTCTCCCTTTCTCTCCTTCTGTTTAAGAAATCCCATCCTCATGAGATAATCGCATTACAATTCCTTATCAGTTTAATGTCCCGGATGCCAACAAACGCAAAAGTTTTTCCAAAAATATCCACAGTTTTCATAAACTTTGGAGCCCAACTTGTGACTCGATATTATTACTACGGCAATTCGGGTCAGAGTTTTCTCTCTGCACAACCGTACTCGGATATAATAAAAAAAGCTTTTCTGTATACACTGTTCCGAGTCTTTGCAACATGTGTACTGCAATCTGATACCTCTTTACGAAGCAAGTGCAACAAAGGGATGCCATTTGGGGGGAAAAAGGGCAGGCTTGCAATTTGTTATTGCTATGAGCTTCAGAGAATATTGAAAGTCTTCGAAACCTGGCCTAGTTTTTTTTTTCTTGTTGTTCTTCTTTTCCTTCTTCTTTTTAATATATTTTCATTTTTCTTTACTTTTTTTTTTCTTCTTTGTGTCGTTTGTTTGTTTGTTTGTTTTAATGACTCTTTAGCTCTCTCTTACTTTCGTTTCTCTCTCTCTCTCTCTCTCTCTCTCTCTCTCTCTCTCTCTCTCTCTCTCTCTCTCTCTCTCTCTCTCTCTCTCTCTCTCTCTCTCTCTCATTCTCTCTCTCTCTCTCTCTCTCTCTCTCTCTCTCTCTCTCTCTCTCTCATTCTCTCTCATCTCTCTCTCTCTCTCTCTCTCTCTCTCTCTCTCTCTCTCTCTCTCTCTCTCTCTCTCTCTCTCTCTCTCTCTCTCTCTCTCTCTCCAGCTCGTCTTTATTTCTCTTTTTTCCTCTCAAACTCGAACTAATAATAATAATGAGGATAATAAAGATATCAACAACTGCAACAACAACAGCAACAAAACACCAACAAGATTAACAACAACAACAACAACTGCAACAAATCCCGTTGCAGTCTCCTCCTGTTCCACCGAATCAGCGTCCAGTCGTCCTCACAAACGCCACGCCCTTTGATATCGTGTGATTGAGATTTAATAATGGTCAGAGTGAACGATATTTTACTTCTTTTCTTATCTTTTTTTAAATTCATTTTTTTTCGTATCATTCTTCAATAATCGATGGTTGGGTTACTTGTAAGAATCGAATCGCTGGACTGGTCATTCAATCTCGTCTGTTGGTGAGAGGGGAGGGAGGGGGTATGGTGGTGAGGGGGAGGGGGTATGGTGGTGAGGGGGGAGGGAGGGGGTATGGTGGTGAGGGGAAGGTTAAAAGTGTTGGGGGATGACTCACTCACTCATTCACTCACTCACTCACTCTCTCTCTCTCTCTCTCTTTCTCTCAATCTCTCTCTCTCTCTCAATCTCTCTCTCTCTCTCTCTCTCTCTCTCTCTCTCTCTCTCTCTCTCTCTCTCTCTCTCTCTCTCTCTCTCTCTTTCGTTCCCATATTCTGTCCCCGCCTATTCCGCGATGCACGAACAGAACTGAACAATTGAACTGAATATTTTTCGGCATTCGTACGTGGACCGATCTTGCAAATGTTATTTTTGTACAGAAAACGTAGATAGGTATATGAATATATTAAAACATAGTGGCATATGACAAAATGAAAGATTCTGTTTTGTTTGCTTGTTTGTTTTGTCTTTTGTTTGTCTTCCATTTCAGGTTTCCTCTCTCTCTCTCTCTCTCTCTCTCTCTCTCTCTCTCTCTCTCTCTCTCTCTCTCTCTCTCTCTCTCTCTCTCTCTCCTCTCTCTCTCTCTCTCTCTTTGTCTCTCTCTCTCTCTCTCTCTCTCTCTCTCTCTCGCTCTCTCTCTCGCTCTCTCTCTCGCTCTCTCTCTCGCTCTCTTTCTCGCTCTCTTTCTCGCTCTCTCTCTCGCTCTCTCTCTCGCTCTCTTTCTCGCTCTCTTTCTCGCTCTCTTTCTCGCTCTCTTTCTCGCTCTCTTTCTCGCTCTCTTTTTCTTTCTCGCTCTCGCTCTCCCCACTCCCCTCACCCCTCCTCTTCCTCTCCCTATTCCTCTTCCTCTTCCTCTCCCTCCCTCTCTAAAAAAAAAAACATGAATAAAGAATGAACGAATAAATGATAAACGCCGCAGCAAAGAGGGCGAAGTGCGCAGTGGGAGGCGTGGCCAGGCGAGGGGCAAGGGCGTGGAAGGGCGTAGCGGGAGGCGAGGGGCCAGGGCGTGGAAGGGCGTGGAGGGGCGTGGCCAAACGGGCAGGTGACCATCAGCATGCGATCAACAACATCCTGGTCTTTGCGTGACCGCCTCCACAGTTGGCAAACGAGAGGAACTGGACCTTGTTTTGCACGGGGAATGGGGGTCAAAAAAGGAGTTTCGATTCGTTTTGCGCAGGGGATGGGTTGAGGAGAGGAATCCAACTTCGTTTTGCACAGGGGATGGGGTCAAAGAAAGGAGTTTCGATTCGATTTGCACAGGGGATGGGTTGAGGAGAGGAATCAAACTTCGTTTTGCACAGGGAATGGGGTCAAAGAATGGAGTTTCGATTCGTTTTGAACAGGGGATGGGTTGAGGAGAGGGAATCGAACTTCGTTTTGCACAGGGAATGGGGTCAAAGAAAGGAGTTTCGATTCGATTTGCACAGGGGGTGGGTTAAGAAGAGGAATCAAACTTCATTTTGCACAGGGAATGGGTTAAGGAGAGGAATACAGCCTAATTTCGCATTTGGAATGGGTTAAAGGAAGGCGTTTGATTTCGCTTTACACAGGGAATGGGTTAGGCAGAGGAGTCCCACTTAGTTTTGCACAAGGAATGGGTTAAGGAAAGGAATCCAACTTCGTCTTCCACAGGGAATGGGTTAAGGAAAAGAATCTAACTTCATCTGCACAGGGAATGGGTTAAGGAGAGGAATCCAACTTCGTCTTGCACAGGGAATGGGTTAAGAAGAGGAATCCAACAACGTTTTGCACAGGGAATGGGACAAATATAAGCATTTGGATTAGTTTTGCCCAAGGAACGAGTTAATGAAAGTTCATCCTCGACTTACACAGGGAGTGGGTCAGGGAAAGAAGGTCCGTCTCGATTCGCACAGGAAGTGGGTCAGAGTATGAAACGAAAAGCAAACAGGGAAGAAGATTGAGGGGGGGAGGGGGGGTTATCACGGTCTGTTTCACCCATATTTCTTTGTGAAAAGTGTATTTTCTTTCATCATTTATTGTTATTATTATTTATTATCACCTTCTTTCTCCTTACTTTTCTCCTATTTATCTTCCTCTCTTTCATTTTTCTTGTTCTTCTATTTATTCATATCTATATGTTTTTGTTACTTATTCTTATTCTTATTCTTATACTCCTTCTCCTTCTCCCTTTCAGTTTCAGTTTCAGTTTCCTATTACTTTTCCTTTTCCATCTCCTGCTCCTTCTTCTTCTCCTCCTTCTTCGTCTCCTCCTCCTTCTTCCCCTCCTCCTTCTTCTCCTCCTACTTCTCCTCCTCCTCCTCCTCCTCCTCTTTCTCCTTTTTGTTTTGTTTTCCCTCTTTCGGTTGGCCTAAACGGTATGGAAAGAATATTACAATAACCATAATTCACATAAAATTCACATAATATACGTATATATATATATATACACACACACACACACACACACACACACACACACACACATATATATATATATATATATATATATATAAATATATATATATATATATATATATATATATATATATATATATATATATATATATAACAATAATAATAAAAAGTAAAGCTGCGTGTCTAAAGTCGAATAAATGAAATCTCATCAGCGTCTTCTAGACACACAGACACACACACACACACACACACACACACACACACACACACACACACACACACACACACACACACACACACACACACACACACACATATATATATATATATATAAATATATATATATATATATATATATATATATATATATATATATATATATATATATATATATATAACAATAATAATAAAAAGTAAAGCTGCGTGTCTTAAGTCGAATAAATGAAATCTCATCAGCGTCTTCTAGACACACACACACACACACCTCCCCACCTTCCCCCTCCCCCCTCCCATTTTGTCCTTCTAATCAGCACTGTACACATTATACGCAGTCGTTCTTATCAAGACTCGTATCCTAACTTGTATCAAAGTTCCTGTCGA